TGCGCCTCCGTTACCGCCGCCGGCCTCGTGGCTTCCCTCTCGTGAGGAGCACCGGGGCGGAGCACCGGGGCCTGCAGGCCCGTCGGGCTTACCCCGCCTCAGAGGGGGGCCCGGTCAGCGCCCCGCCGGCGCCCGGGGTCCCCCAGGGCGGTGCCGCCGCCAGGCCACGTGCCAGGCAGCAGCACAACGTTAGGCAGTCCTGCGTTTCACCGCTTAGTAGTGATTTAGTTTGCCCAGAGACTTTGGGGTTTTTTGGAAGAAAAATAACACAAGGCTTTGTGAAACGCGAAGCCAATGACCCCTGGCGCTACCTGCAATTTAAGAATGAAAAACGGGCACGTTTGGAGAGATGCAATAAATCTTACTGACTTTATTACACATTGCATTTTAGGATCACTTTACATTCCTAGACAAAAGAGATGATACAAATAAATACAAGCTGTAAAACTATGGACAGAACTATCGACAGGCTCTTTGTCTACAGATCGCCTACGAGAAGGTGGAGATCAGTGTGTCTCCAAGGAGCTGTGAGTTCTCTTATGGGCAGCTGTGCCCGCAGGGCGACCCTCAGGCGCTTCGTTTCAAAAAGAAAGGGGGACTGAAGAAGGTAGTAAGTGCCTGGACCACAGAGAGTTAAACCCACCACCGCGCAGCGCAGCGCAGACAGGACCAGTGTTCTCATTTCAGTTCCATCTCCGCATCCAATTATGGCTTTTGCAGGTTATCTTTTCCAATTTGTGTTTTAACACAGCAGAAACAGACCCACGGGAGTCGCGCTGAACCGTGTAAAGCCTGGTGCACGTTAACCATCACAGACAGAAGAGAGGACAGATCCAGGTTTGCAGTTGTCTCGCTGAAACTCGGCAAGCACTCTGTGTTCAGTGAAGGCAGACTTACTACGCCTAAAAAAAATACTGAACACAAGTCTGATCTGATCTGTATAACGCCCCAGCGTAGCCCGAGGTGCTACGACAGAGGTACGTGTTTTAGAAGATTCAAGCAGCATGCAATTATTTTAAAAAAGGCGCTAGACCTAACGTTAAGGATTTTAAGAAAGTGCTTTAATTCCTATGCTTCAGTGTCACGCGGTGCTTGCTCCCAGAGCCAAGGGCCGACTTCTGCTGCATGTCACTTTTTAAGAAAAGATCCCATTATACAGATCAGAGCAAAGACGAGAAGGACGTTAAACATTCCTATGAAGAAACCGTGACCGCGCACGCTGTCCGAGGGCCTCTTCCAGGAGTCGGCTGGATTTCCTGTCTTTGGCTGTTAACCTGCAGGAAGCCCAGATGGTTCAGATAACACCCAGAGAGGGGCAAATTCGGCAGGAATGTTTCTAAAAAAACTCAACCCAGAGCTCAGCACTTTTGTACAGCTTAAGACGATGTAGTTTACCTTAACATCAGTGCCACTGAGCAGCTGGTCGAGGGTAAGTCCGTCGGAATGAGAATCTAAAAGCTTCTGTGACAATCTGAGATTGCCCATGAATACACTAACCAAATCTCCAACCACAGCTCCAACTTAAATACAATGACTAAATATGCAGTTTTATTCTTTTTCCACCCTATTAAATTTCTTTCACCTTGCTAATGAATTTCTACAGAATTAAAAGCAGAGCCTTTCTGACATATTAACCAGCTAGCTTATCAACACTAAAACGAGAACAGCTCGGGTTTGCACTGCGATTTCCACTGTACCAGTCCTGCCACAAGGGGAGTTTCCAGCATATGGGTTTAATACAGAATTCCCTATGGAACAGTAGCGACTGCGCATGTGCAGACACAGATGTGTCTGTGGATGCATATTCACATAATACATACGTGTACATTGCTATGCACATATATGCGATTATATATATTTTGTTGCTATTTCAGGTTTTAGACCCCCCCCCCTTGTTTCGTTTCAATTCTCTGAGCACTTACACCATACAATCATCTTCTAAAATGTCAAAGTACAGAAGAATACGTGCTAGAGAGAAAGAGAAGGTGACGTTATATTATGCAACAAGAGCCAATTAAAAGGCTCTCTGTACATAAACAGTGCTTTATAAAAAGGAAGATTATGCCAGGTTTCCACATTCAGGTTGAAAGAAATTTGTCAGATGCCTGCCCTCTCAATTATATGCAAACTCCTCTTTCCTCCACCAAAACTAATGTATATATACGCATATATGTGTGTATATATATACATTAATCCTGTGGTCCAGAAAAGCACTCCATGAATCAAAGCGGCCGAGTTAGCGTTTAACCGGGCCCACCTGGGCAGCTGGCTCACCGAGGCACCATGCCCGCAAGATGCAGAGGTGAGCTGTGCCGAGTGTTCGGTTCCTTCTGCTCATGGGGGTCAGACAGAACGGAGTTCTCCAGCCCGGATGAAGTCACTCAGCGGATACTTAACGAGCACACAAGGCAGAGTCCGCCCATCAGAGCATTTCTAAAACCAGGCAAGTCCTCATACACTCACACATGTCAGTCTGGAGGAAGTCGTCAGTGAGGGAGAGGAAATAGGTAAAAACGTTCATAGGATGACAGCCAACAGCAACCAGAAAAAGTAATATCCCAAGTCTCAATATACAGTGAACTAAAACTTACAAATGAGCTGTGAGACACCAGACAGGGACACCTTACTCTGTCCTTAGCGCGGCAGTTCCACCTCCCTCTACCCTGCCACACGAGCCTGCAGCATTACAGGAGCCTGCTTTAGTCATAGGGCAGCTTTGCAAAGAGACCGTCAAAAGCAGGAGTCCTTCCTCCCTTGTTTTCAAAGTAAACCCCCTGGAATTAATACCAGATTCCATTACCCAGACTCGGTTACATGTGCTTTCACTCCCAGCAGGCTCTGCGTGGGCTGGGAGCTGCAAAGGGAAAGCTTCTAGCGTGGAACAGGTGAGGCACAACAGGTACCGAACGCTGAACCTCCTTAGACACCAAGGGAAGGGACCATACTTGCAAGGAGAGCGCACTCAAAGGCAGCTCCGCATTACAGTGCTCCACCCTCCGCCCAGCTTACAGGGGAGAGCAGAGTCAGCCCTGCGAGCCTGCCGGGAAGGTAGCTCTGAGCCAATGCTACGTTTCCCGTGAACGGTGGGAGATGTGAGAAAATGGCCGTACGCCACCCCACAGTTTAAAGTCTTAGTACGGACACTGGTTTGAACTGCCAGGGGTGAAGATGGAGGCAAGAGAGAGGAAGAAAGCTGTGGAGCTGGCACTGGTATGCAGATGTATTCTTTGACAAGGTGGTTCCTGCTGGTAGGGGTGAGGTCTGTAGGAGGTCAGTTTAGAGAAGCTCTTACTTATGCCTGTAAACAAGGAAAGGACTTCAGTTTCTATTGCTTCCTTTCTAGAGAGCGCAAAGTTGCTTTCAAGACCCCTTTTTTTGTCCTACAGCTCTAAAGGGAGGCACAGCTATCTGGTGGTGAGTACATGCTGACCGCTGCCATCCTGCCTGTTCAGACCAGCTTCTTAACCCCAACTGATGATGCCAGTCTTTCAAGCAGGAAGAGGAAAAACTATGCACCTAAGTCAAGTTTGAACAGATCCTCTGCTTTTTAACCTCATTTGGTTCTCCCTATGGAGCTCTGGAGCGGTGGTTCTGTTGAGATGACTTTCAACTCTGTCTTCTTATTGCCCAACAGCAAAAAAGCCCAGTGCAGCAAAAGGGCTAGTGCAGAAGGAGAGACGGTGATGCTGCGAGGTGATCCCCATGCTTCCCATTGCTTCTAATACACTTTAACGTACCTCATGCATTTCTGATTTCCTAACTAAAATCTGTTTCCCACAGAGGCCAAATGCTGAATTGCAAGCACGTATCTTCCCGTGGCTCAGTGCACCTGGACTGGCACAAGTCAGTTAAACAGCAAAGAGGCCATCTCCAGGGGAAAGGGGCTGGAGTCTGGCTGGGAGTTCTCTCTGCAGGTTTTTACTTGTCTCTGCTCTCAGAAGGCAAAGGCTGTTCGCGCCCTGGAGAGAAACTGCTGGTTTTACTTTGGAACCAGCCCTCGGGACTGTGGGTAGAGCTGAGAACTATGGGTGCCTGCTGAAGAGGATCCCCCTGATTTCCTTCCAGTTTTAGGCCTGAAGAAGTAAAAATGAAAAAATAAACAAAAAGCCCCAACAATGCCGCCTGTTACTCACCAAAATTTATCTTCCAAAAGCTGAATTTTTTTACTGGATTTATTCTCTAATCAGTCTCAGCTTTCACTTCTGTCCTGTGTTCCTTTCTCTCTCTCTCTGCTTTACAGCTAAGCTCTCCTTAACTTCACTGACAAGAAGTGCTGACAAATAGCAGCTGTACTTGAACCTCTACTGTTGGCTAGTCTGCTTACTGAAAGTCCAACTCACCTGGGTTTTGATTTTTTATTTGAAGTGCTCTCAAAGGTTGACGCGTCCACCTGTATCTCATCTTCATCCTGCAGAGCTGCTTCTAGAGCCGCCTGAACTTTGGGAGCAATGGCTGGACCTTCGTAGTCTCTCGTCGTTCGGCTGGGCATGTCAAGTTCCAGTAATACGATGTTCTCTGCCTGAGACAGTAAAAGCAGAATCAAAGTCTGCACTTTTTCATATAAATTGTTTCTTTTCCCTCCAGAAGCTTACTCTGAAGTACTTTATAAATGTATGCAGGACACTGTAAAAATTTACATCCCCCAGAAGAACTAACAATCCTCTGAAATTCACATTCCCCTGATCAGGGGGGTGAGCACATGGAGGTTGTAACCACATCTGGGCTTACCCTGTACCGAGCCTCTGGACGAATCATCATGGACGTCCTGGCGTGTTGGCTCAGTGGCCTCTTGTATCCTACAGCAGATACCGGTCTTTTCATCATCTGCTGGTTACTAGAGAAAAATGGATACTCAGTCTATTATACACCAAAAACAAAGACTCCTCTTGGAGTTTATGAGCTAAAACATCTGCAAATTCCACACAGAAATATGTTTCAAGAGAGCAGAAACTATCTAGGCTGCATTTGCAGGAACAGCTCTCTACAGTCAGAGACAAGAAGGTAAGGTAGTTATCCTGTGTCATCTGTTCCCTGCACAAAGGGGAGGATTTCTACACATTTTTACTATACAGACCGCAGATGCACTCAGCTGCACCCAACTTTGTAAATTTGCTGTAGAGAACTTTCTGTGTAGAGTGTCAGGATCCAGCCACAGCTCTCGTAAGAATAATAATGACAGCTTTCCTATCTAAAACAGGAAAGAACTATGATAGGAGTTTACTGCTATTTTAATGGTGAATGCACTATTAACATATATTTTACGTATAATTATTGGGCTCATCTAGAAAAAAAATCCTAATCTTCCAAGAATTTTCCTAACTGTACATTCCTGTTTTGTTCAACCTGCTAAGATGAATAATTTTTTCTATTTTATTGTGCAGCAAGAAGCTGCGATCTCTGGAGGGCCAGTTTAAATCCCCAATTCAATCCCTCTTTTGGGGTACCTTGTTCTTGACAACTAGAGAGTTTTCCATGACCTATAACTCCACCCCAAGAAAAGCTTAGAAGTACACTCACTCCAGACGGGTTATGGGATGCAGTTTCCACTGGTCTTCCTCTTCATCGAAGAATGATCTGTTCATGATCTTATTCTTTTCTTCCAAGGGAATAAAATTTTCAATAATCAGGTGCCTACATGCAACCGCAAAAATGGGAAATACACAAGAAACATAATTAGCAGATGACTTTCTCCACTGCTCCTCTCCTACTGACTTAATACAGCCCTGGAAAAGGAGGAATGTTTTAGTTTTCCCACGTTTAAATCCTTTTCCACAAGCATGTGCAATGCAGTCCCTCCACTCCCCACCCAAAGAAACCACCTCTGTTACTGTTAATAGCAGGCAACGAAGTGACGGGACTTACTTTAGCTTTAGTTCCCTGGTAAGTTCATTCTGGGTCTGTTCCAGTTCCTGGCGCTCCTTGATGTGCTCTTCTTGGAGATCATGGATCTCTGCCTTCACAGCCTGCAGCTTGGAGAATAACTGGAACACACAACAAGAGCCAAAGTCATAGCTTGCCAATGTTCCTTTCACTTTCACACACAAGTTGACTTTATTCCTAACCCACTAGACACGGAATAATTTTCTTTTTACCTTTTTGAGTTTTTTGGTCTTTATGTCCACCTCTTGCTGAAGAGAACTATAGGTCTCCTTCAGCTCTAATGTCTCCTCGTCCCGGCTTTCCATCTGTTGCTGGATCTCTCGCTCCCGACGTTTCTGAAGAACGTGACATACAATATTAAAGGCCACAGTTACATTGCCACCTCCAGGCTGACATACATGAAACCAACGCTCAGGATGTTTTTGCTTCCCTGGGCTCCAGGGCTTTTGCTTTAGCTTCTAGTTCTTCCTATCTCTGGCCTTAGAAATACCAGAAGCATTAACTCTTCTTTGTCTTTATGTTGCTGCTAAAATCAGATAGTGTGAATAAGTGCTCGAGCTTCAATTAAAGGAATCAAATGTCACGTTTGGATTCTTTTTTTTTTTTTTTCATCAATGCGTACTAGTCATTGCACTTAAAGAATCCCCAACAGAAAATAAACTTTCAGCACACAGTAAACATCCCTCCCTTGAGCTAATGGCTGAACTGTAACTCTCTGAGGTCCTCCAATTATTTTTACACTTACAGACAGCTCCAATCAAGTCAGGACACAAATCTTTAACATGAAAAGCTGGAAGAAAACTATTATAAACCTTCTCTACATATTTCATACAATGACAAATAGGACACAAGCCCTTCCCCCTTCTTTTGAGATTAATGAATGCCATTAAACCAATTTCAGGGTTCACCCTGGGCAAATTTTCTTACAGTTTCTCCTGATACAATGTTTTATAAAAGTTCTGCAGCTAGGCTTTTCATACAAAATAACAAACGTTCTCCCCTGTACCTGTTCTGCAATTTCCTGTCGTTTCTGCTCCAGGATTTTCTGCTGTTCGTTTGTGTGATCCACGATATTTTTCCCTCCCACCAGAAGCTTGCTTTCCATTGCCTGAAAGGAAAAACCAAGGTCGTAAGTTTCTCGCAGTGACCACAGAATGTAACTTTCTCTGATACGGATACAACTTCTTCAGGGCAGCTCCCTTATTGCACCTTCTCTTGCAAGTCAGCTGCTGCAAGAATTACTGTTTCTTAAAATTCCTATAAAACCGTGGGATTAATGAAACAGTAACTTGCTTAGAATTACGCATTGCTGCAATGTGTGGCAAAGCTGGAGACCCAAAACTCGTGCTCTCCCGTAAAAAACTTGTTAATGATCTGTGACAGAATGAAGCATTTTTTGTGCTACAGCTTGTGAAAAGATGTATCATCACATTTTATCGTGCTGATTGCTTAAGATCCTACAAGATCAGCACACAAGAACAATGAAACAACTCATTAATATTGAAATATTTAATTAATGGTGGAAATGTCAACTTCTGTCCAGAAGTAGTTTATTTTAAAATCTTCCAATCTAAACACAAATCACTGTCCTGGAAACTTCTTGTGAAATATCCTTCCGTATTGAGAAACCCTCTATTCTCCCCACAGCCTAAATAAATTGCTTTCAAAAAGTATGACAAGGAAGAATTCTACCTTGATTTTAGCACTCAACATCTCTGTTGCTTCCTTCTCTCGCCTCAGGTCCTCCATTTTCTTCTCCTTCTCTTTCAGCAGTCTCATCTTTTCTTCTGCTACCAGGCTGTGATCCTCAACTATAGCTTTCTTCTCAATCTCCAGCTTTTCTTGTTGCTCCCTCCAATAGTCATCTTTGTCATCTCCTTCATCCTCACCCTCTTCAGTGTCCTCCTCCTCTTCCCCACCATCTCTCCTCCTTTCCCTCCTCTTTCTTTTGCCAATAGACCGTTTTTCCAACTGTGCCTTGAGCCGAGCAATCTCTTCCTGGAATTCTCGTAGCAGAGCATCCTTAGGATCCTCATTCACTCGCGGCTTGTTCTTGATGTTTTTGGCACGGTTGGCATACCTCAGTGTTGTCAGAGTCTCCTCTACGTTGTAAGAGGCAGGGCCTATATTGGCCACCATCACAGTTTTGGCATTGCCACCTAACGAGTCTTGAAGTAACCTAGTCAGCTTTGAGTCCCGGTATGGAATGTGCGTGCTTTTGCCATCTACTAGGGCAGAGATAACGTTGCCCAAAGCTGAGAGAGAGAGATTGATTTTAGTAGCTTCCTTTAACCTTTCCCCCTGTGCTCCAGTCTTAGCTTGCCGCTCGCTGCCTGCAAGGTCTACCAGGTTGAGTTTTCCAACTCGGATGTGATTCTCTCCATCAAGTCCTAACTCGCTGCATTCGATAGTGATCACAAAAATGGCATGAGATCGAGAGCTGTGTTCATTCATGTTGGTGGCACCAACCGAGCGGTTTTGGTTTCCCACGTTCATGACGTGCTCTATCTCTTTGACGCTTTTTGTAACAAAGGAGGACAAATCCTTAACATACACACCTGTGTCTGGTCTCTCCTTTAACTCCAGCCGCTTGGACTGATCCTTCGATAACAAGTCTCTGATTTCTTCTTGGTATATTTCCAAATAAGAAGCTCTAACTAGATATTGCTGATTTTGAGATCTAGAGATGTGGGTGAAGATGTGATCGAATGAATTGGGGATGACCCCTCTTTTTTCAGGATCACCACGCACCCCTTCCATCGTATATGTTTTCCCTGTCCCAGTCTGCCCATACGCAAAGATTGTCCCATTAAACCCTTGCAGAACAGAGTCCACAAGAGGTCTGAAGGTCTCATCGTAGAGTTCAACCTGTTTGGAATTCCAGTCATACACAGCATCAAAGGTGAAAGTTTTAGGCAGTTCATGAGAAGTTCCCCGCGGATTCTTCACCGAGACCTGCCCTAACTTGACATCCACGTTAACAACTTTTTCATACGAAGCTGTCTTCTCTTTGCTATTCATCGGCCGGCATCGTACCACCACCCTAACAGACTCAGAGCTCTTTAACTTAGACATGACAGCAGGTCTGTGGCTGGCGTGATCTGATCGATGGATGATCCCGTGCCAGCAACCTAAAACGGAAACAAAGGAGGAATACGTCAAGGCGGTTTTCTGCAGGTGACAATTTTTCACAAAGCCAAAGATTCAACTCATCTATTCAAACAGCATTTTGTATTCATGAAGTTGCGAGGGATTTTGAAGAATATAAATAACGTACAACACGAAAACTTTAAAAAGGCCTGAACTGAGACAGTATTATTTTACCAAAACCTGTCCATCGAACAGTATCATTTCTACAAGCTCTGCTGCAAAAAATCTTCATCAAATCACAGTTTTACAGTTGGTAGAGATCCTTTTCTTGACCCTTAAAAATCATAATGCTTTTTAAACTATTTATAAAAATAATATGATATTTTGCCATTGATTTTCTTTGCAGTCAGGCTGTTTTAAATCTCGTATTTTGAAAATCTAGTACAGACTTGCTCTCTCCGTATTGCTCAGGCTCTTGAAAGGGAATCAGTCAGGTGCTTTGATTAAGTGCTTCACCCACCTACCAAATTCCAAGAGAGATCGTAAATTATAAATACGGTATTTTCAGAGTTGCCTCTTCTTATGCCTCCTATGTATTGGCAAAACCTTCTCATATTTTTGAGACATTTATATTACAATCCCCTCACACGTGATGTGATGTGTCACCAGAACCATCCTGCCACAGAAGGTTTAAAGCTTATGCCTGGCTTTTCTTAAATGACAGCAGTTCCCTGGAATGCCACCCAAACACTTTTTTCCTCTTGTGCGTTACACTTGTAAAGTCACTTTCTAGAAGCCTCCTTACAGAATAATAGATCTTTAATTGGGCTGCAACAGCTGCGAGGATTCAAGATAAAATCATTAAATAGTTTGTCCATTTCCAGGCATCACATCCCCTGAATATTCTGCATTTCCACACTTGGGAAAACTGATGTTACCCTTCTGTCAAGAATCAAGTGAAAATAATTGTTACACGAAAGTTTTCACACAGTCTTGCAATCCAGCTCACTACAAAGGAAATCATTAAAGCAGCCAAATGTAGCACAGTTTTCCAACGCTTGCAAATATGGTAAAACAAACCAGTAAGGGGAGTGAATTACCCCAGTGAGGTGGGCTCTGAAATCAGGGGGCAACAAAGAGGACTATTTCCACCACCTAATTGCAGCGAGGCGAGGCTGCGTGCTGCTGTAGGATGCCTGTGTTGTGCCCCCACCGAGGGCACTGCTGCAGCCCTGTAAATTCAGGACCTTCACACCCCAACATTGAAAGTCACTTCTGGTCCTGCGCTCGCCCTGGGGGGGGGCACCCAGGCGAAGCACAGCCACTCCCCCCGACGCCGGACGGCCGCTCTCAGCATGCCCGCGGCCCCAGAACTCCCCGTCTTTCTGTTCCACTTCCAAACGTCCCGGTCAATGTTGATCTTGCATTTGCAGTTTTTGCACAAGTATCGTCAGCGCACTTAAGCAGAGAGCAGCATTCCCCGCTGGCGTTCAGCAGGGAGCAGAAGGGAAAGCTATAAAGGTGGAGCAATCTACATTATGCCTCGTCTAACGCACAAGCAACCAGAGGACATCAGGGTGTGAAGCGGACACCTGCAAGGATTTGCCCTTCTCAGGCTTCTGAAGGTGAGTTTAAGCTCCTTTCACATCACTTCTTATAAAAATTTCATAAAGCACTCAGTCCTTTGAGCCCACCCTCCTCTTTCTGTAACGCGACTGCCCTCTGTGAAAGGATCCTGCAAACCACCGCGAGTGTCTTCCTCAGCTAGAACTTGCACACCTGTTTTTACGGGGAAACTGAAGGCAACCGTACTTGCTCTAGATATTTCAAGCACAACTCTGCACGCAGATCTATGCTATTATTTTTTCTTTTGGCAATATACGTTTACCGGGACTTCCCAAAAAAGCCAGCTCTGCCCAAGCACACGAACCTACTGAAACACACGTCACGCTCCTGCTCTGGTGTTCCAACTGAGTCAGGTTTACAAGATTCAGCATCAATCTAAACTCACGTTGCATAAACCCAGTTCACAGATCCCGAGTCCTTCATGACTCTGGGTAGAGAGCAAGAAACGCGCTGTTGCATCCCCCAGTCATTAGCACAATGAGCTGCCATTTAAAACGGAACAAAAAGACTGTGTTACTGCTAAAGCGACAGCCTTACGCGGAAGATCTAAACGGCACAGCTTGTGGAATGCCATGCGATGTCTAAGAAACTGTTTTTTCAAAAATATCTTTCAGGAAGAGCTCTGAGATCCTTCTGCCAATTGGAACGAAATGTAAAACTAATACACACTGGAAAGCCCAGGTAGCGCTGGCACGCGTTCCGTCTGGCCTCCTCAGGACGCTCTCGCTGTTCCACTACCAGCTGGACCTGCAGCAACCCATGGACTTTGGCTGACTGTTTTTTACTCAGTGATTGTATGTCTCAGGAGAGCTTCTCAAACAAGGTGACGGAGAACTTCAGGAGCAGAGCTAGAGGACTGAGAAAGGAAGCAGAACATTTCTAGCCCAAAATCCAGACTGTCAATCTGCACTACAAAGAATAACACAAGAGTAACAAATAAACAGGTTTAAGAATTGTAGGGAAACCTCAATATGGCTCTTGGAATTTCCTTGGTTTCGTGAGGGGAAACTCCTTGTCCTCGCTACTCCCAGGAAGGCACGTGGTAGCTACCAGGAGGAAGATGAGGAACGTGCATCGAATTGACCAAACTGGACAATCATCCAGAAGAAGCACTTCCAACCTGCACAGTGAATTCAAACTACTGCAGGAATTTTGGATTGCTACTGAATAAAAACATTTCCCTCCTAACTGACAACTCCAAATAAAGATGACCTTGCTGTCTGACCCACAAGGAACACGTATTCTAGAATATCAATAGAGAAAGAACATGTGAAATGGGGACAAGTCTTGCAGAAGCATAAAAAGCAACTCTCCCTCTAATCATCATGAGTAGTTGTACATACAAATACACGCTTCTCCCTCCACACCTTCCTGAGATACTCCGATAGTTCAAGTTCACAGGAGACAATTTTTTCAGACAAGTTCACATAACAACCGATGCTTCATTTATCTGCATTATTACGGTGAATGTTCACATCGGCAAGTACTGAAATTAGGCATGAATTCTGAAAGGCAGAGCCTTGATTTATTTTATATAATTAATATCCAAAATACTATTTCGATGAGAAGTTCCGCTTCGAAAGTGATGCCGACTAACATTAAATGATCAGAATTAAGTTAATCTTCGCACAGACTGCTTCTTTACAAGAGCATACGCTGCCGTCCGCAGGCTCACCTGGAGGTCAAGAGTGAAATATCCGGCATGTCCCCTCTGCGACAGCTTTGGCAGAGGCATGCATTCAACAAAAACTATGTTGCATATTTGCTGTTCCTCTGGGCGTATCTCATCAACGTGAGCTTGACAAGCTTTCGACACCTTTCCCCATTTCAATTGCAAGTCTCTTTTTATAGCCACAAACAACATTTTTTACCCCTGCGTTGGGCTGTTTTCATAACAACCTATCGCGAACCATCTCCAATTATTTTAGCTACTGCTGTGAAGTTTACTGGAAGTGTAACAAATGACGTTTCTTCTCAGGCTTACCCAAGCGCTTAACTGGAGAATAAAACCAATTAGTTGGCAGTGTTTGTATTCCCCAGAAACTCCACGGCAATGTTTGAGCCGCCCGGAGCGGCCGGACAGGGATGGCCAGAAGAGCTGGGAAGGCCACCGTGCCACCCGCTCTTCCCCTACCGGGAGGGGGCTTCGTTCATGAAATTAGTTCAGCCTAAAGCGACCTGGGCCAGGTCCTGAGCGTCAAGGTCGAGGTTGAGACGAATGCATCTGAAGCTGTGCTCCGGATGGCCAAGAGGGAAGGGTGGGCAGAAATCAAAGCATTTTTGTTTATTTCAGTCAACACAAGGTTGTGCCTGAAAAAAGAAGCGACGCCACAACCTGAAGGTAAGCTCTGGTAACCACTTCTGGTCAGGAACTTTCAGGAGTCGGGACCCGAGGGCTCGGCCGGCCGTGCCCAAGGGTCACTGCACTCTGACCGGGCGCGTACCACTGATCCCTTCTGCCTCCGGCAGGCTGAAGTCCTGAGGCCTCTCCGCTTCCTGGCTTAGGTTTAAAGATCTCAGGAAGATTTTCTTGGTACGCTGCCTAAACCCTCCCCTCACGTCTCTCTGCACATCCCCAGGTACCGCTTAAAAAAAATGCCAACGCTTTCTTGCAGTTTAAATCTTTCAAATATTTGTGGGTCCGTAACGTCTTGGCTCAGTCGCTTGCGTCTTTTACTCCTTCATAAGCCGGTCGCCTCGTCCGCTGTTGCTCTCCTCTCACCTCCCTGCCGAACGCACCGCGGACCGAACAGGACATCCCCGGTGCCGCTGCCGGAGCTGGGCCGGCCTGGGCCACCTCTGCCACGGCGGGCCTTCTGCTGCCGGGGCGCTGGGCGCCCCGGTTTCACACAGTGCCCGTGGTCACCCCCGCCACCTCCGTCCGCCTCAGCACGGCGCCCCACGGGCGTCCCCCTCCCCCGGGGAGGCGGCGGGTGCGGGACCCCCGCTCCAGCCGGGACCCCGAGTTCATTTCTGGTTACGGCTTCGCCCCCGCGTCGCCCGCCGCCCTCGCAGCTGCGACACCGGGTGCAGCGGGAAAGGGGTCCCG